TCAGTAACATGTGGGGACAAATTCAAGAAGTTAATATGTCTATAATTTGAGTCCCTTGGAGATGAAGACAGGAAAAATATCTGAAAAATAATGGTCCCAAAATTTCCAAGTTTGATAGAAACTATAAATACACAAATCTAAGAAGCTCAACTAATCCCAAATACAAGAAACATGTAGAAAACTACACCAAGTCACATCATAGTCAAATAACTCAAAACCAATGATAAAATGAAAACCTTAAAAACCATACATAGAAAAAAAAGACATTACATGATAGGAACAAAGATAAGGATAACAGCATATTCTTGTCAGAAACAGCACAGAGAAGACAATATATCAAAATTTGTGGAATAAGCTAAAATAGTAGTTAGGGGAAATTTATAGCACTAAATACCTATACTGGAAAATAATAAAGGCCTCAAATCAGTGACTCCACTTTCCCACTTAAGAGAATGTAAAACCCAAAGTAAGAAAACAAGAATTAATAAATAGAATGGCAAAAATCAATGAAATAAAAAACAGAAAAATCAATAAACCAAAAGCCAGTGCTTGGAGAAGATCAATAAAGTTGATAAACCTCTAAACAGACTGATAGGGAACATATGGGAGAAGACACAAATTGCCACTATCAGGAATGAGAGAGATGACATCACTATAGATTATACAGATATAAAAGGATAATAAGGGAACAGTATGAAAAACTTTACATAGACCAAGAGGTAGTCATTTGAACAGTACAAGGAGATACTGCATGATTTAAAATCAGAAAAGATGTGTGTCAGGGTTGTATCCATTCACCATACTTATTCAATCTGTGTGCTAAGCAAATAATCAGAGAAGTGAGATTATATGGAGATTATTGTGTCAGTATCAAGGAAGATTCATTAACAGCCTGCAATATGCAGATGATACAGCTTTGCTTGCTGAGAATGAGGAAGATGTAAAGCAGTTGTTGATGAAGATCAAAGTCTACATTCTTCAGTATGGATTACACCTCAACATAAAGGAAAAATTCTCGCTACTAGACCAATAAGCAACATCATGATGAATGGAGAAAAGATTGAAGTTGTTAAGGATTTCAATTATTTGAATCAACAATCAATATCCAAGGAGCTCTGGTGGTGTAGTGCCTAAGGCATTTGACTGCTAACCAGAAGGCTGGTGGTTCAAACCCATCAGCCACTCCTTGGAAGGAAGATTGGTCGTTTCCTCAGAAACCGAAGGAGGGGTTGCTATGAATTGGAATTAACTTGATGGCAGCGAGTTTAGGTTTTCTTTCTTTTTTTTTTTTTTTTTGATCAACATCCATGGAAGCAGCAGTCAAGAAATCAAACAACTTATTACATCTGGCAAATCTGTTGCAAAACACCTCTTTAAAGAGCAAAGATGTCACTTTGAAGACTAAGGTGCACTTTGGATTTAACCAAGAAAGAAAGGATCTGATAATTTTAGATTCTCATAATCTAATAGCTGTAAAAATATTATGGCCCAAGCCATAGTATTTTCAATAGCTTCATATGCATGTGAGAGTTGGACAGTGAATAAGGAAAACTGCAGAAAAATGGATGTTTTTGAATTGTGGTGTTGGCGAAGAATATTCAAGCTACCATAGACTGCTAGAAGAATGAACAAGTATAGCCAGAATGTTCTATAGAACTGAGAATGGCCAAATTTTGTCTCTCACAATTTGGTCATGTTGTAGAAGGGACCAGTTCCTGGAGAAGGATATCATGCTTGGTAAAGAGGAGGATCAGCAAAAAAGGGGATGATCCTCAATGAGATGGATTGACACGGTGGCTGTTATGATGGGCTCTGGCATAGCAAGGATTGTGAGCAAGGGTCAGGACAGGACATTGTTTCATTCTGTTGTACATAGGGTCACTATGAGTAGGAACCAACTCAATGACACATAGCAACATGAAAAACTTTATGCCAAAAAATTGACAACTTAGGTGAAATTAATATATTCCTTGAAAGATATAAACTATCAAAGCTCACTCAAGAATAAATAGATAATCTGAGTATCTTTATATCTATTAAGGAAATTGAATTTATAGTTAAAAACTTTACAATGAAGATAATTCCTAGCCCACTGTTTAATTATGCCAAACATTTAAGAAGGGAAAAACACCGCTTATACATAAACTCTACCAGAAAACTGAAGAGGAGGACTGTTTTCCAACCCATTCTATGAAGTTAGCATTAGGCTGATTTTCAAATTAAACAAAGACATTACAAGAAAACTTCAGACCAATATGCCTCACTAATATAGCTGCAAAACATTAAAAATTATTTTAGTAAATTAAAAAAAGAAAATGCACCACTACTAATGATGTTTATACCAGAAATGCAAAGTTAATAGTCACAAAGTGTTGTGACCTTAGGTAAGGCAAAGATGTCTTAGTAACAACGCCAAATCATGAATCATAAGAGGAAAAAAAAATGATAAATTGGACTTCTTCAAATTAAAAACTTTTGTGCTTCAATAGGCAAGAGGAAACTTTGGGGTTAATAGGTATGCTCATTGTCTTGATTGTGGTGATCATTCCATGGGTGTGTACATATGTCAAGAACTTATCTAATTGTATATTTAAACATGTACAATTTATTATATATTGGTTATATTAGTTTCTGGGGTTGCCATAACAAAGTATCACAAAGTTAGTGGCTAAAACAACAGAAATTTATTGTCTCACAATTCTAGAGGCTGGTAATCTGAATTCAGGGTGTTGACCCGGGTATGTTCTTTCAGAAAGCTCTAGTGGAAGATCCTTTCTTGTCTCTCCCAGCTACTCATAGCCCCAGGAATTTCTTTGGCTTGTGGTGCATCTTCACATGGCCATATTCCCCCTCTGTGACTCTGTGTCACTTCCTTTGTATAAAGACAACACTCAGATACAATTAGGACCCACCCTACTCCTGTATAGCCTCATGTTAACTGATAACATCTTCAAAGACCCTTTTTCCAAGGTTATATTCACAGGTAGGGAGGGTTAGGACTTGAACATATTTTTTGGATGGCACAATTCAATTCATAACATCAATATATCTCAATAGAGCTGTTACAAATTAATTTTTAAAAATCACCTAGAGATTTTTTTAATGCAGATATACTGTGCCTCATGTCCAGAGGTCCTAATTCATTCACCCTGAGATAATGTCCAGGAATCTACTTTTTTTTGAAACTCATATCCAGGTAATTCTAATACATTTTTTAAAACATAAGATGTGAGCAACAGTAACACAGGTGTGAAGTGAAACAAGAGGACTTGCCAGGTGAAGCAGCTAGAAAGAGAGGTCAAATAGTTCTAGAAAAAAAAACAAAGAAACAAACAGGGAAGCCTGTCATGCCTATCTCAAAGGTGTGAGAGGAAAGAACCCAGGATAATAAAACCCAAAAAGGTATCAAGGAAATCTGTGTTTTAGTGGCATAGGGGAATTTCATCTTCCTTTTCCCATTTAATACTTGACTGCTAAACAGAAAGGTGGCAGTTCAAACCCACCAGCCACTCCTCGGAAGGAAGATGGGCAATCTATTTCCATAGTGATACTGCCTCGGAAACCCAAGGAGGGGTTGCTATGAGTCAGGTCCAACTCGACGGCACATAACAACAACATATTTTATCAAACTCCAAAGACAGTAGGCCTGTGTTTCATGCTATTCTATGAAATAGCACTAGGTCAATGAAACCATAACATCACGTTAAGGTAATCACTGGTGACCCTGTCAAAAGAAGCACGGATTTGGATGTGACATATATGTTGATGACAGGAACCACCAATGTCATCTACTTCCCTGTACCCTTCCAGTGCCAGATACACATTTAGTGCTTATGTGAATGAATGAATGAATGAATGGATGGATGGATTTTTTTTTCTTCATGCATTCCTATGGGGGCCACATATGACTGACTGGTTGTCTCCCTTGCATCCTCTAACTTCAGACTGTACCTATGTCAGGTGGATTTAGCCAAGAAAGAATTCTAATAATCTTTCCTGACCTTAGTTTATAGTACTTTGTCTTTAAACATCATCTCACAATTTTCTAAAAACAAACTCTTATCCAGTGTATATCTGGTCACATAAGCTATTCTATTTTCTTTAAATGAAAGGATCTACTTGCTTTGTTGTCCTTGAATTTTTATTCTTTTTCACATGATAGGGAAATGCTTGGCCCTTTTACAGTGGCCCTCATTCAGTTGTTGACATGAAGAGAGCAGATATCACTGCTTTTTCCAAGTCACCTTATTATCTTTTCTTTTTAATAAATTAAAAGGAGAGAAATAAGGTGTGACCTTGAAGTCCCAAGTCCTAATCTCCCCACTTTCAACACCAAATTAGATGAGAAATCCCTGATCCCAACCTACCATAGACTCTACCTTTCATGAATGGCCAATAGATTCAGGCATTTCTTCCTCAGATGAGGAGCTCCCTGTGTTTTAGTCTACAGTAAATGCTGAGCTGATAAATTAAAGCTAGTCTTTAGCTATCTACTGTTGTATTTCATAAGAGAAAGAAAAGAAGTTATTCAATATTACAAAATGTCAGAGTGTTGAAAAACCTTAATCTGGTTGAATCTCCTTGTTTATAAATGAAGAAACTCAAAGCCAGAAATACAAAGTGATTTCTCAAGGTTGATTTTCCAGTGCTTCCCTGAAGCCTTCCCTGACCTTCCTTGTCAGAAGATCATTGTTTCTTCCTGGGATCCTTCATGCACTTCTTGTACTCCCTTTTAGCATTACTTTTGATCTTCTTTCATTAGATTGTGAGATTTGGGAGAATTGAGCCCATGTCTCACTTCCAGGATTTGGCACAGAGGCTTACTCATAGGTGTTATGTGCTATTGTGCAAATTTCGACTTATAGTGACCCTATGTGACAAAGTAGAACTACCCCATAGGGTTTTCCAGGCTGTAATGGATACTTCATAAATGCTTACATAAGGATGGGAGAGGGGAAAGGAGAAGGGAGGAAGAGAAAAGGAAAAAGTGGGCCCAAAGATTAGTGATTTGATTTATCACCAGTAAACATGACTGTGAGCAGAATTTGAGACCCCAAACCTAGAAATAAGGGGTATTGTGGAGTATGAGTCAAGGATCTTCTCAGAGCTCCTGAGATGACATAGGCTTTCCCCTCCTTTTCCATTTCCTCCTTGATCCACGGAATAAACCGAGCCACAGACACAAACATACCAGGTCTTCCCTTGGAGCCAGATCTTATGCCCCAACTGAAGACACCCACTTGGAAGAGTCTCCTGGTTCCACGGTTAGTACAGACCATAGGTGCCCCACTGTCTCCCTGGGAATGAGAAAAGAAAGGAGGAATCATCTGAAAACAATCAAAAGCACACTCAGCAAGAGGAGGGGTGGGAGGGAGCTGGTGGTGTGGACTAGAGGCCTCCTCCTTCCTGGGCTACCTCCTGGAAACCTAGAAAATAGTGGTGATGGCAAGGGCAGGAATGAGAGATGGGCTGGGGCAGGGACTGAGTACCTGGCATCTGCCTTTGGTGCCTGGTTCCTTCCAGGCACAAAGCATGTTTCTGGAGAGCTGGTCCACCCTCCTGCTGCATTCTTTCCAGTTAATCTGCACCACTCTCATCTTTTGCAGGTACATATCAGATCTGTCTGGCAAAATGAGGAAGCTAGTATAAGAATGAGAACTGTGTTAGCCACTGAGAGATGGGCCCACAAATACTCATGGTTAAAGCCCTGGAAGGCTTCAAAACTTCTGCAAGTCATTGACTCACAGGGTAGGAAGGCCTTAGAAGTTTCTAACACAAGGCCTTACTCAGTCACTTCTCCAGTATCACCAGTGAGTGGTTCCTTCATCCTTGCTTATGTGTGTCCTCAGGAATTAACCTATAAAACTCCCATCCTCAAGCCTTCTCAGAGGAACCAAAATGAACTTTCTGTACAGTCCCATCACAGCCATGCTTTGTCCTTGTACAGAGGTTTAGAAGAGCCCAACCTCAGATAACTTTTGTCCTGTGCCTTAGCCATGCCAAATGGAGAAACCAGGAAAATCACATACTTTGAAATGGCATCTTATGAAAAGGAAATGACCATGATCATAGAAGAGCTTCCCCCGACCCCATTCCCACACCCTCCCAGATGTCCTCACTGGCTGGCCAGATGCTGCCCTGAAGAGAAAGACATGTAATTATTATTGACCAAGCTAGGTTGAGGAATCACTGGCTTGGAGCTATCTCAGGAAGACAGTCTACACGGGCTTCATCAGGTGATAAGCAGCTGGGGAGATGGGCAGAGCCCATAAAGGAAGGCTCCAAACTGACTTTCTACAATTCTTCTGAGCCTGTTAAAAATTATCATTGCTGTCAGGTTTTCAGATTCTACTATGTTCCAGGCAGTTACGGGAGACCTTGCATGTATCATTTCTTTTAATTCATGTAATTATTTGTGGGAGGCATTACTGTCATTCTATAGATGAGAAAACTGAGACTCAGGAAGGCTAATAAGCTAGCCCAAGGTCACACAGCTGGAGCCTGTATTAGTCTCAAGTATTCCTAAATGCAAAGCATCATGCTGTGTGTTGTTGTTGTTGTTATGTGCCGTCAAGTCAAACCTGACTCATAGCGACCCTCCTTGGGTTTCCGAGGCAGTATCACTACGGAAGTAGGATTGCCCAACCTTCCTTCCGAGGAGTGGCTGGTGGGTTTGAACCGCCAGCCGTCTGGTTAGCAGGAAAGTGTCTTAGCCATTATGCTACCAGAGCTCCTATCATGCTGTGTAGCCCAGGGAAATCTAAACAAGGGCCTTCAGTGGATTACAAAGGGAAAGCACATACCATACTCATGAGCAGTTACCCACTCTAACATCCAACATCGGTCCCAGGCCCACTCCTTCACTTGTAGGCAGATAGGCATTTTGAAGTTAGTGAATTGTATTGGTGTGGCAAGCAGGAGCAGGGAGAGGTCACTGTCAAGGTGGGGAGGTTTATAGTCTTTGTGAATAATTATCTTCTGCACTCTCATTCTTTCCAAGCTCGCATCACTTGATTTTCTTGCTCCCATGACCACAGTCAAATTCTTCACTTCCATTTCTAATCTACAAAATAAATACAATAGCATAAATGCTAATGATAAACCAAACCCACTGCCATCAAGTCAATTCCAATTCATAGCAACGCTGTAGGACAGAGTAGAACTGCCCCATAAGACTGTAAATCTTTATATAAACAGATTGCCTTATCTTTCTCCCATGGAGCAGCTGATGAGTTTAAATCACATGACCAATTTTACTTATCAGCCAAATACTTTAACCACTGCACCACCAGATCTCCTTATGCTGATAATAGTTATACTGTATTTCACATTTGTAGACAATTGCAAACAGTAAAGTTTACCACAGACTACTGAGAATTTTGAAGTAGTGGAAGTATGGTGGCCTGGGAGTGACTAGCAATCAGATAGGTAGAAATTGGGATAAAAACTCAGGAAAATCTTTGAGATTTTTCCAGACCAAAGGAAGTGTAGTGCATTCATCATAGACAACAGAATGCAGACTTTTGATGCAGGGAACTTGGCTGTCTTGTCTACTCCTCCATCCCCAGCACTTAGAATAGATCCTGGTGCTCAATGAGTGTTTGTAGAATGAATGAACATAATGTACTATCTACATATACAAATGACAAGCAGGAAGTCTTGTATTGATTTTCCAGTGCTGGTGCATAGCTAATAGCAAGTGGCTTACTTTTCAATATGGTTAACTAAATAAAGGGATAATAGTGTATGTAGAGCAGACACTTGGAAAATATGGGATGAAGAACCTGTGACTTCATCAGTCTTCTGCACCAACCAAATAAGCCACCCAGCCCAGACATACATTGAAGAGAAATGTTATAAAGTAAGGCAATGCCTCAGAAACTTACAGGGTTCTTTGGAAGCAATGTGCAGCTGTCAGAACCCACCACTGGTGTATAACTGAGCCTCCACAGAGGTGTTTCCGAGAGATCTGGATACTCACTTGCCATGGAAACTCGCCTTTCTGGACTTCAAATAGTTCATGAAATGGTAACCTTGATGAGTTTGAAAAGGCAGGTCTGTAACCACATTGAACTTTTGCTGAAAGAAATGAAGCATGGAGAAAGCCTGCTTACCCTTTATCTCCAGCATCTTCCCAGCTAAGACCAGGGCTGAAGCTGAGTAAACTAAAATGAGCAGGCCTATAGGAGAAGCAGAAGACACCAGCAAAATATATACCCTGTAGCATCTATCCCTCACCTTCAGAAAGAGGTCTGGGAAAGGCAGGGAAGGGCTCCATCAGAAACTGTGTAGGGGTAGGGATGGCAGTGGAGAGGCACCACAGATGTGCAGGGTCAAACTGAGGACAGAAACCACTCAATGATTTCAACAGGGACTGTGTAATTTAAAGAACTGTAAACTATAACAGGAGAGTAGCTGTAAAGGACTCTAAGAGTACCCTAGGGGAATCTACTAGGGGAGAGTACTTAAAGAAGAAACTAACATAGTAATGGATAAGAAGGATAAGCTAAAAAAGTAATGAAAATTAATTGAAAAATAAAGAATTAAAAAGAATTAGAGGTTTTTGTGTGAACATGTTTTCATTTCTCTAGTATAAATAGAATGGAACTGCTAGTTCATAAAATGTGTGTTTACTTATGAAACTGTCAAATTGCTTTCTGGTATAGATGCACCACTTTGCATTCCAACCAGCAATGTGTGAGAGTTTACATTGCTTCACGTATTTATTAACACTTGGTATTACTTATTGTAGTATTTCTTATGTAGTATTCCTTATTTTAGCCATTCTAATATATGCACACAAGTGTTTATAGGAAGACAATCCATAATTGATGAAAACTGGAAACAACTCAAACGGTCCTTCAATGAGTGCATAGATAAACACACTGTGATACTTCCATACATTGGGATACTACTCCGCAGTAGAGAAGAACTATTGATACATGCAACAATATGGATGAATTATGTTATGTGCAAGAACCCGGTCTCAAAAAGTTACATACTATACACGTTGTTGTTGTGCCATCAAGTTGACTCTGATTCATATCTTGCCATTTCTTCCATTTGCTTTAGCTACCCTCCATTCAAGGAGCTCTGGTAGCATAGTGGCTAAGGCACTTGACTGCTACCCAGAAGGAAGTAGCACTCCTCGGAAGGAAGGTTGGGCAATCCTACTTCCGTAGTGATACTGCCTTGGAAACCCAAGAAGGGATCGCTATGAGTCGGGTCTGACTTGACAGCACTAACAACAACAACAACAACCCTCCATTCAAGGACAAGTTTCAGAGTCTCTTCTGACATTCATTTTGGGCTTTTCTTCCTTTCCTGTCTTTTCAATGATCTTTTGCTTTCTTCATGGATGATGTTCTTGATGTCATCCCACAATTCCTCTAGTTTTTGGTCATTGGTGTTCAATGTATCAAATCTATTCTTTAGATGGTCTCTAAATTCAAGAGGGATATAATCAAGGTTCGCTGCTGCGTAGCAGAAAGCAGTAACTTAGATGCTCTCGGGATGCTCTTGAGCAGATTCCACATCCTAGCTTCACTTCGGGAACCCGTGCATAGTGGCGCACAGCTAGGAGGGCATCAGCGGCATTAGGAGCACCCTGTATGATTGCATTTTTCAGAAGTTGGTCATGTCTTGGGAAAGAAGTGACAGTTTGGAGAAAATCTTCAGAAGAATTTAGTGGATATCTGTAAGTTAATTCTTGCAGTTTTATATAATTCTTAAGACACAGCTAAACTTCATGTACATACTCAGTCTCTAAATGGTCACTGGCAGTAAATTTTGGTTTTTCCTTTTAAAATTTTAAATTATCAGAAAAGCAAATTGGCCTTTGAATTGGAGCCTTAAGAATGTCCATGTCCTTTGTGGTCTTAGTTGGTTGTAAGGGGATCATAAATAATTGTACTTGATATTTCTCAGCATGATGTTCAAGTCCCTTTTATTCTATACTTAGTGCTCTAGCGTACTTTATTACAAGAATTTATATTAAATCATCATAAAGATAATAGTGACTTTTAAGTACTTGACTATTCTATCACAGCACTATTTATAATATTATAAACCACTTGAATAATCAACAGTAGGAGAATGAATGAATTATGAAACATGTGTAATAGACTACAGTTTATCCCCAATTTATGACAAGATTTTGTTCTAATGACTCCGTTGTAGGTTGGTTCTAAAGTAAGTCAATCTACTTCTTTTCTTTTAGTTTTCACTATTACTGGCTTCTTTGGGTGTCCCTGAGTTGTCTCTCCTCACCTGTATCCCTGGGGCTGACAGCTCTTCTGTCCAGGTTCAAGGCATTTATCCGCCCAAAGAAGCAGGCCAGAAGAGCAGGAGAAAGGGGATTAAGAGCCAGGAAGCCAGACAGAGGAACTGTCAGCCACAGGGACCCAGGTGGGGGTGATATGAGAGGTCTCCAACAGCAGGACAAACTTGTCTGTCGGTTTGTCCTACTGTGGTGACATGTAGACGTGAGTTTTGAGGCTGAGCCTCTGGTGTTTAAA